ATATTTCCCTAAATAATAAAAGCACCCCTGCCTCTGACCTTAACATTTGTGGTGACATAATGCTACATTGCAACTTAAGTAGCAAAACTGTCCATAGGTGAAGAACATGAAAAAACAATTTTTCTCTGCTTCCTAAGTGGTAAGGAAGCAACTGTCTTTCTCCCCTCCTGAAAGAGTCTCCTTGGAAACATTATGGATCTGATTGCTAACTATAACACGTCGGTCTGTAAGTAAAATCTCGCCAAAAGTCAGATAGCTCTGTGTGTCTCAGACCTAGAGAGGCCTCTAAGTCCTGGATCTCATTTCTGCATGAAATGTAGATACCTAAGTCATCCTAGCACTTTTACCCGGTACCTAGGTACCTGTCCCAGGATGTAACCTTTTGTCTTTATGGAAGGTAAGTTTTATTATCCTTTTAGATCAGAGCAATTAGCACCATAATTTGGGGGAAGAAATGGCTACAGATTTAATCCTGTAATATATGAAAATATTTTCAAGGAGAAATGAAAAGATTCTCTGACTTTATAGTAAATACATTAGGACAATGATAAATCCAGGAATATTTTATTTTCCTATATGTGTTATATCATTTTTATAATTTCTGCTGGATAAAGATGTTAATACTGTACCTGGGGCATAGCAAATACTCTACAAATGATTGACATTGTAATAATAATTAGTGCTTATTATTTTAAGATATTGAAAATGCCTATATTCATGTTTCAGAAAGAATAAAATGGAAATTATTTTTTATTTAATGTATGAAATGAATTTGTGGCTGAAATTTAGGTTGGATGGTGTCATGTCTGTCAAGACCCTTGAAATCTACAGAGAGGATTCTATATTCTCCTCATGGAAGGCTATTTAGCTCACAACTCCCATTTTCTTCCTTGTGAAAGAGTTCCCCCCCATTATGTATATGGACACATATCACTTACACACATGTCTTCCTTGAAGTGCACCTAGGTTTCCATTCTCTCAGGAGCTCTATAAAATGGATTTTATGCCTACTAACACACAGAGACTTCATTGTCTACTAGTAGCTAAATCCAGTAGTTAGAAGATAATCTCTTATTTGCTGCGTTTCTTAACTCATCTTTTAGATTCTAATTATACAGATTCAAATTCTTTCAAATTCCTATTTAATATTCTGATGGTTTTTCAAATAGGGTACTATAATACCTAGCTGGAAACACAAAGCTACTTCACATGAAGTACAGTATAGGATTGTAGGATCAGTACAGGTTGAAGTATTGAAAATGTTGAGTGGAGGATATGGTATGTGGTTGGGCTTTGCTTTTTATAAGAAGTAAAGAAAGAAGACAGCATATCAGTTATGCATACTAATGAGAACTAAGGCCATTTTCTGAATGCATGTTAATTTTTTTCTTCTAGTGACATACAGTGATAAATAAGTGATGAAACTACCCCTTTCTTCATGATTTTATAGGATAATTTTAAAGTACACTGTGATTCATTATTGGTTACTTCTGTGATTAGAGAACAGAAGGAATGCTATTAGCAGTGAATCTATCAGGTTAGAACAGAGACTTTAAGATAATATGCTATGGGCAGTGTAGGGTCATCACAGTTTTTAAACAGGAAGGCAAAAGAATGAGAAACAGTGCTGCTATGAACATTGGGGTACACATGCTCTTATGCCTCAGCATTTCTGTATCCCTTGGGTAAATTCCTAGCAGTGCTATTGCTGGGTCATAGGGGAGTTCTAGTGTTAGTTTCCTGAGGAACCTCCACACTGTTTTCCAGAGGGGCTGTACCAGTTTACATTCCCACCAACAGTGAAGGAGGGTGCCCGTTTCTCCACATCCTCGCCAGCATCTAGAGTTCTCTGATTTGCTCATTTTAGCCACTCTGACTGGCGTGAGGTGGTATCTCAGTGTGGTTTTGATTTGAATTTCCCTGATGAGGAGGGATGCCGAGCATCGTTTCATGTGTCTGTTGGCCATCTGGATGTCCTCTTTGGAGAAGTGTCTGTTTATGTCTTCTGCCCATTTCTTCACTGGGTTGTTTGTTTTTCGGGCGTGTAGTTTGGTGAGTTCCTTATAGATTCTGGATATTAACCCTTTATCTGATATGTCATTTGCAACTATCTTTTCCCATTCCGTTGGTTGCCTATTAATTTTCTGGGTTGTTTCCTTGGCTGTGCAGAAGCTTTTAATCTTGATGAGGTCCCAACAGTTTATTTTTGCTCTTGATTCCCTTGCTTTTGGGGATGTGTCAATAGCTAAAACATGGAAAGAGCCTAAGTGTCCATCAACAGATGAATGGATCAAGAAGATGTGGTTTATCTATACCATGGAATACTACATGGCAATGAGAAACAATGAAATCTGGCCATGTGTAGCAACATGGATGGACCTTGAGGGTGTCATGCTGAGCGAAATAAGTCAGGCAGAGAAGGACAAATATCATATGTTTGCACGTATAGGAGGATTAGGAGGAACTTGACGGAGGAACAAGGGGGAGAAGAAGGGCGGAAATGGTGGGGGAAAGGGAGAGAGGCAAACCATGAGAGACTCTTGAATGCTGACAAAAACTGAGGACTGATGGATGTGGGGGGGAGGGGGGGATGGGCATGGAGGAGGACACTTGTGGGGATGAGTACTGAGTGTTATGTGGAAACTAATTTGACAATAAACTATTTGTAAAAAAAAAAAAAAAGAATGAGAAACAGTATTTTAGGAAAATTTGCCATTGGTAGATTGAATGGAAAGAGATTTGTGTCAGGAAGACCAGTTAGAGAAATACTGGAATAAGCTAAGCAATAAATGATGAGAACAACTAATTTAATTTTGGCCTTTGGAACAGAGAATTCAAAAGAAGAATCAACGTCTTTTCTAGACTTAATTTATGAATGGAAGAAAGAGGTAATATAGAGGTAACCTCAGGATTCTGAAAAAAGAATACAGATTTGTACAGGAAAGCAGCAAATTAATTTTTATGCATATTTGGGTGTTGGCCAGTGACTAGATCCAGAGGAAAAATCTCTATATAGACATTGAACATATATTACTGGAATTTTAGTTAGGAGAATTCATCAGTCTAAAGGTGATGGGTTTTATGTGAGTGAGTAAACCTTCTGAGTTATAAGGCCAAAAAGTAGATTTTAGAGAAATAGCTCAAAGAGAGCTAGGAGGAAAAACAGAGGTGAAGGTCAGAGAACATAGCCAGTATACTTAGGGAAGCTGAAGAAATAGTGATATCAAATTAATGTGGTGTTAGAAGCCAGTCTCAGCCTAAGGATAACCAGAATTGTGGGTGGACTGGCCTTTGTGGTTCTTATTATGGCTGGAAGATGCCCTCTGGAATAACCATGAAGAAACTTTGAAAAAAGATTTACTACTTAAAATTCTTAGAAATTACATGGCACACTTGGGGCTACATATGAAGTTCAGAGGAGGATCAGAGGGAAGAAGAGAGGGAAGGAGGGAAATGGCATGGACTTGGGGTTCTGCTTGTATTGGGATTCAGGGAAGAGGGCCTAGAGCTGTTTATTGGTGAATTTACAACATAAGTATGGGAATTTAAAGTGCAGGAAGAGAAAAAACAAGCAGCCCAAGTGAATGGTTAATGAAATCAACCAAGATCTCTGAAACAAAGAAGCATAGGGCATCAACTGGTTCTTTAAGTAGCTTTGTGGCTAACAGTGTGTTTCTTCTTCTTCTTCTTCTTTTTTTTTTTTTTTTAAGTTTATGGGACACCTGGGCGGCTCAATTGGTTAAGCATCTGACTTCAGCTTAGGTTATGATCTTGAAGTTTGTGAGTTTGAGCCTCGTGTTGGGCTCTGTGCTGACAGAGCTAAAAGCCTGCAGCCTGCTTTGGATTCTGTCTCCCTCTCCCTCTCCGCCCCTCCCTTACTAACTTGCTCTCTCTTCTCCATCTCTCTTTCTCTCTGTCTAGAGATGGTGGGGGGAGGGGGGGAGAAAGAGAATCCCAAGTAGTCTCCACACTGTTAGCATAGAGCCCAGCATGGGGCTTTACCTCAGGAGCCTAACTCATGAATCATGAGATCATGACCTGAGCCAAAATCAAGAGTTGGATGCTTAGCAGACTGAGCCATCCATGTGTCCCTGACAATGTGTTTATTCAGAAGAGCCATCTTTGAAGGGGATGCCTGTTTGAAGCCAATGCTTCACCAGTCAAAAATTAAGTCAGGCACTTGAATTACCAAAAAACAGAAAACCCAGCTGTCAGGGATTATACAACTTGTGGTTAGCAAATCAAATTTTGAAGTGAGGTAAAAGAAAATGAGGTCTGAGAAATCCTCATTAAATCTTGGTTTGAAGCATTATCCAAGATGAAATGGGGTATGATATGGGGGGAGGTCCGAACTCATATATAAATTTGCACATTCAACCACCATCACCCATTATTGCAGAATGATTTGTCAGATAAATTGTGAATAAGCTATTAAATTTGAGCAGTGGGAGAGAGGAGATAGAAGAGAGTGTATGGTGATGGAAGAGCAGTACAGAGTTGGCAGCCATAGGGGTTATCCTGAGGGGTGCTTGAGGAAACAGAATACAGGGGACAATAATGGTCTGGCTCCAAAATGTGTCTTCTGTTAATGCAGGCAGTGACTAGTCTGCTTCTTAGCAAAAGCCCAGGTGATGTTTATCTGATGAGTGGGGATCAAATAAAGGTAACACCAAAAAATACAGCTTTTCCTAATACTCAAGAGGATGAATGCTTGGCATTCTCCTGTTATAAAGAATTCAGCTGAGATGGTGTTGGATTGATCAATTTATATGTGGATAAAAATGAGAAGAACTCTGGAGAGATACCAACTCTATTTCTGCCTAAAGACTTGAAATAAGAGTAGTGGTTGGGGAACGCAGGGGATAAAGGGGTTGGAACCTTAATTTTACAATTGAGCTAGCAGTTCATGATAGGACTCACAGCCTGAGTGACCTGTATTTCCAGACACTTGCCCCTTTCTTGACCCTGTTTGTTTCTGGTTCTGTCGTCTGTGCCCCTAGGGTGAAGCTAAGGACAAAGGACAATTGGGAAGGCAGCTCTGGCCTACAAAAGTAAGCCTTCATTTGTCATTTTAATGGGTGTACCATTTCACCTTAATTTAATTTTCCTACTCTAAGAATATATCTCATTTTGTAAGTTCACAAGCTGACACATCATTCAGAGAGACTATTTATTTTCCCTATATTCTTCACACAAAGGCTGAGATTATTCTTGCAATAGTAATCAAGATCTTCTGTCTTTGGGTTGCAAAGAAAATGCATTCAACTGTACTTGAAAGAGAAAATTGAAATTTGGCTGCAAATGATAAAGCACTTTGAATTCTTTCAATTCTGTCTGTTCATATCAGCTGAGCTGCATTAATAAAAGCATAAAGGTGCCTGTTGCTTGCTATTGGCAAAAAATACAATGTTCAGTTGCCCTAACTGTGGATTAGGTGTGTTGAAGTTTATTCCTATTATAGAACCTTGTGCTCATAGTCCAGTTTTTCTTTGTCAGTGCTAGCATGGTACCAAATGAATTAGGAAAGTAGTCCCCAGAGAAAGACTTTTCCACCAGCTTTAATAGCAGAGAAACTATGAATCTTCAAAAAAAAAAAAATCAAATCTCAAAGTGTAATTGGCTTGTCTATCTGCCTGTTGTAACCTTTGTTTTATTGGCGTAATTGTTTTAGGAAATAATCCTGTAGGCTTATTAGCATGCTTAATGATAGTTTCAGTTATTTATTTTATTAATTGGGTGTGTAAGTCACAAAATTGCTGGTGGGTACATTTACCAATAGAACAACCACCATAATAATACAAGGCATCCAAAAATAAAAGTAGGTTGGTACCTCTGAGATAAAAATTTCTGTAAATAAAGAGTACTGCAGATTTTTCATTTTCCATCAGACGATCTCATGGGCATGCCAATTGTGAAACCATAGTCAAATTTTTGGAAATGCAAGAGTAAGTACCAAATAAAAGTTTATACTCATGTACACTTAATGAGTATTTTTTTTTTTTTTAGCCAGCACTATAACATGAGACCAGTATCACAAGCCTAGGCAAAATTGTGAAGTAGGAATAGGTTATCTTTAGGTACCTCTAGCCTCTTCTTTGTATGCCTAATAATATCCTTTTCTCTAAAATCCTCGTTGATTTTTCTCTCCTCTTCACAATTATTTATTCTCAAGAGAAGATGAAATTCATTAACACTGAAGTTTAAATGATGAAGGTGGTAATGGTGCTATAGAAAGAACTCTTTGAGACCAAACAGCCCTAGCTTCAAAGTCTGCTTATTATCATTTCCAGCTATGTGATTTTAATGAATACATTTTACCTCAGGGAGCTGAGGGTTTGGTGCAGACTGGAGCTTACATAATTTGGGAGAAATACAAAACCATATATATAAGTTTAGATAAGAAGGTAAATATTTACATATTAAAATAACAAATGCAACAAAATTTAGAAAAATAAATTTAGTCATTCCTTAGCCTTATTTATTCATAAAAAAATATTTCCACAACAATAATAAAATCTTACCAAAATAGCTAGTGGTCTGGGGATACAATTACCTATTTTGGTTCTTATTTTCTGAAGATGTGGGGGCTACTTTGATATTATTTCCTTGTAATGAGTCATTTTTTTCTAAGGAAATTTGATATGGGGAAGAAGGCCAAAGTTAGGGTGAAGGAGTCAGGCACCATTGAGTAATTAATCTCTTCAAGTGCACTGAACTCTGACTTCTATACAAACTGATGGCAAGTCCCCAAAATAACTCATAGACAAGGAATGCATGCCCTTGTGTGCTTCAACTTTCCTTTCATGACCAAGCCAGTAAATAACTATTGTAAGATACATCATAATTTCCATCATGGATAATAGAAATAGAGACACATGATATTGCTTTAAAAGATTTACACTTCTACTATCTACTTGTATTAACTCACATGACATTCCTGATAGACTTGTCACACTAATCTTAACAATATCAGTGGTGTCTGATAAAGAACACTTGTGATATTGTTCTTCTTTTTACCCCATACCATAAACTGTAACAGTAATACCAATAATCCCTGCAATTAATATCAAAGGAAGACTCAACAAACTACTGGAGTTAACAAGAGGGAATCTGATTCACCTGGGAGGAAAGGTGCTTTATCTTTGACATTAATGTCTTCGGTAGGCTGTTATTTAGAACCTTTGGGTTGTACTCGATTATAGTCCTTAGTATTTGCCTTTCCTGAAGGATACCCAACAATAGCTAAAAATAAATTTAACAGAATAGGGTGAAAAAATAAGAAAATAAACAAATACAGAAGAGGTCCATTGCACAGAGCTGGCACAAAAGAAACCTACTTACATCTAAGACTCATTTTCTCGTCACTGCATCAGAATAACATGCCTGCAATTTAATTTTGCTTTACAAAGCTCACAAATTTAGCTTTCAGGATGTGTGATTTTTGAAAAATCTGTGGTCTCTTTAGCTTGTGCTTAAGCCAGTGTCATTCTCTAGTGATACAGGCTGGAGAAGAAGGGGAAGAATCAAGAAGCCTAAACAAACTAAGCCATAATAGGATGGCATGATATTCACTAGTCTACTACATACATTTCAAAGTCATGAGGAATATTTAACTTCGACATAAGCTAATGTTTTTCCTGCAGGGCACTGAGATCAGAGAGAAGACAAGGAAACTACATAGTTGTGTTATTCACATTGTATTTTCTTAGATACTTTGTTCATTTGGCATTGGGGGCATCTTTTTTTGATCTCTTTGTCTCATTGCTACTCGCTTTCAGTCCTCTCTGCTGGTCCCCTCCCTCATTCTGACCTTAAATCTTGAAGTACCCCAGAACTCTGACCCTGGACACTTACTATTTTTTTCCCAATGACTTCACTTTCTAGGTGGTCGTTAAATTACCATCCTTATATTAAAGATTCCCCAGGTTCTCTCAGTGACTTGAATCTTTCCCCTGACCTTCAGACCCATATCCAACTTTTACCTAAACCTGATATATCCATATTGAATTCTTGATTTTTCTGTACCAAATCTGTTTTTCCTATAGTATTCTCCTTCAAGTAAGTGGTAACAGTCAAAAATTTTGATGTCATCTTGTCAATCTTTGTTTCACATCCCACATCAGCAAAACTGAATCTGAATCTGAATTCTTAATCTGACTACTTCTCTCCATTTCTGTTGTCATCAGCTTTCATGCAAGCCATCATTTCTAGCCTGGACCCAATTATGTGTAAACATAAATTTGCTGCTTTCAAATTTATATTATTTTTTCCAATCCTGAAGTTACCTTTAAATTACCTCTTCCTTCCATTCATAAACTAAGTCTAGAAAAACTATTGACTCTTTTTTTTAATTCTCTGTTCCAAAGGCCAAAATTAAATTAGATGTTCTCATCATTTATTGCTTAGCTTATTCCAGTTTTTTACTCTCCTACCCCTTGTATCTATTCTAGCTTCCATTTAGCTATACTTCACACATGGTCATAGGGATCTATGTACATAGATATATCTATCTACATATTTAAAGTGTGGATATGCACTCTCTAAATAAAACCCTTTAATGATTTCCTATCACATTCAATAAAATTGAAAATATTTGCTATGGCCCAAAGGCCATATATTATCCAGACGAACTAGTTTCTGTTCCTAGTCACTATTTTCTAGGTGCTTTGCTATTCTATATGGGTAGGACTCTACCTCCGTCCTTGAACTTCTGTTCCCTCTGTCCAGAATGATCTTCACCGAAATGTCCACATGATTTACTGTTGTACTTCTTTCAGTCTATGTTTAAGTGCCAGCTTGAGAGTAAACTTTCCTGCCTGTCCTGCTCAAAGTAGCCCTTTCTTTCTTTCCTTTCTTTTCTTTTCTTTTCTTTTCTTTTCTTTTCTTTTCTTTTCTTTTCTTTTCATTCCTTCCTTCCTTCCTTCCTTCCTTCCTTCCTTCCTTCCTTCCTTCCTTCCTTCCTTCCTTCTTTATATCTTTGTTTATTGCCTGTATCTCCAAGTAGAATGTAAGATCTGTGTGGGACCTGACATGCTCTGATTTGCCCTGTCTTAAATTCCCTGAGACTTAAATTCTCTGAGTCTAAAATGCTTGGTAGACACTGAATAAATATTTAGTGAATGAATGAATAAGGCATCATTAATGTCCTAGGGGCTCCATTTGCTTTAGGGCAGCATCCTTCTGTTGGGATAGGTATAGGAAGTATATCCATAGTCAGATTCATTATAGTTCCCAACCAGTTGCCAGACCCGGCGTTTAGCAGCTAATCTGTACAAGAACAGAAGCCAAATCCCTGTGATTATGAAACTATGCCATGTACTGAGGAAGGCCTAGACTTAGGCTGCTTTTCTGTTGAAACACACCAGAGTAACATAAAGCTTAAGGACTCATTCTAGGTTCTGTGTAGGAGGGGCTTAAGTCTGCTGTCCTACTGCCTTCAGCCAGATTCATTATTTCTAGAGCTGAGCTCAGCTGCCTGTGCAGGTCCGAAGTTTTAATGCTTATGTGAATTTCCTAGTATTCTTCCTGCTGGCATTTATTCATTTGTATAAATCATATTTTTCTAGTAACATATACTAGATAAATGAGGAAACATTGGAAAAACAATTGCAGAAAAAAGCAGATGAGTAGTTTTTTCAAAATTCCAGTTCTCAGAAACATCCATTATTAAAATTTTGATATATTATCAGCTTTATTTTAGTGTGGGTATATATGTGTGTGTGTGTGCTTACATAGTTTGGGTAAGCCAGCAGTACTTATTGAGCAGTATTTGTATTCAAAGCCCTTTGTTCTTAAATATCCTAATAAAAATAGATGAGAGCAAGGGGCGTCTGAGGGCTGTGTTCAGTCAGTGGAGCCTGCTTGGGATTCTCTCTCTCCCCCTCTCTCTCTCTCTCTCTGCACCCCACCCCAATAAATATATAACAACAATAACAACAACAAAATGAGGGGATTTGACTTTTGGTCCTCAGTAACTACTCTGTAGAAGGCATTCTTTTCACCTGAAATTAGATTTCAGTGTTTCCATGTTCACCATTACCCTGTACTTGCA